TAGTAATTCCTTCATAATGGAGCATTGTGATGATGGCTGCTTTAGAATTTCACTTCCTTTAAAGCCTAAAAGGGTGAACCTTAGGATGTGAATAAAAGGCATTGTGAATGAGAGGTGCCTGTGGATAGAGACAGGAGCTATCTTTTTTCAACATGTTGCAACAATATATTGAATTCTAAGATAGCACCTGCCTGCCCTGCTGCTGGTGGAGGGTGGTTTGCAAAKGCAAGTAGATAAAGAAAATAAATTGTAGGATACCCAGATTAATCACAAAACCTCAGGACTTAAATTGCTGTGGATTTTTTTTTCTTTCTYCTGGCCTGCTCAACTTGTTATTAACATTTTGTTCTAATTGTTGAAATGTTAGTTGATTATGGAAGTTGTTAGTTGAACCATATGGAAAAGCATTATTTCTTTCTTCTACCTAAGAGGAAGGGAGTTTTTTTCAAAGTGGGTTTGGGATAGGTATTTACTATGTCTACTCTCTGCAACTCAAACTATTATGTGTAATTTGTTTATCTAATAACATGTTAATGAATACTAAGACATAACCTAGCAAGAACAGTCAGTAACTTCAATAGATCACATGACGATTACATTAKAGATGAGTATACTGCTGAATTTTTTATCCCCAGGAAAATATTTTTATTGCTTAATGATTGTGTCAAATTATAAAGGCAGGATATTTGCTGCCAAAGTAAATTGCAGGAATTCACAATCGTARTTTTCATTATATACTCTGTATTTAATGACTGCCCATGTTTGCAGCTGTACAAACTGATGGATGTTCCTACATGTAGTGTAACATTTAACATGGTTTAGTTGAAATTGCAGTGGGAGTGACAGTGGGCATTTCAGTTATCAGAACATCTAAATAAATAATAGTTTTTGTCTTTTTAAGAGAAGAACAGGGGAAAAGTATGATCACATGTTCAAATAACTGAAATTATTCTTGTTATTTAACATATCAGACATATATGTAGTAAGTTTTGCTTGGAATCTCTCACTGCTTGTTGTTTAAAATGCAAGGGTATCAGTCTTCCTTTCCTGTTTATGCAGAATATAATTTTAAATGTTAAACTTAATTTMATCTTTCCACAAAATACCATAATAATCCCCACTGTATTACCTATGTAGTTATTCTGTGCTTGTGCTTAAGGGCTGTTTTTAACAGAGATGTAATATTCAGTTTTTCTAGAACCTAAATAAAAGTCCCTGGCCAGAACATAAAACTTAAAAGCTTGAAGGAACAGATCCTTCACATACGGAACTTTTTACTCGGGTCATTTCTACTTTCTGTACACATGGTATTCTGTCACACRCAACCCCTTGAAAACCCAAAAGCTTGGATTTGTGGAGTAGAACAAAATTAAACATATCAGCTGTGGGACTTACAAGAATCATTCACTGAGCACTTCAGGGCTGACCAAAAGGTAAAGCAGGTTGTTCAKGGCACTGTCCAAATGTCCCTTACTCACTGATAGGCTCAGGGCATCATSAGGCTTGACCAYCCTCKCTATAAAKAAATGYTTCCTAAGGGCCAGTCTGAACCTTCCCTGGCACARCTTTGAACCRTTCCCACACATCCCTAGATCCCAGGGAGAACAGATCAGCACCTCTCTCTCCACCTGCCCTCCTCAGGAAGCTGTAGAGAGCAAGGAGGGTGCCCCTCAGCCTCCTTTTGTCCAAACCAGACAAGCCCAGAGCCCTCAGCAGCTCCTCACAGGCCATGGTGTCCAGTCTTTCCCCCTGTGTCACCCTTCTCCAGACACACTCGAGGTTCCTCAGATCATTC